TTGACGCTTGAACAATTTCGTAAGCACAAATGAGACGTCCTTGTTTACAACAATGCTACATGATCTGATTGAAAAGTAATCATTTAGTTATTATTTGCAACAGAAAGATCAGGTCATATAAACATGCCATTTTTTCAATCAGGTCATTTACAGTAAACATGCCAGGTCATGTAAGCATATGGTGCACAGCATTAATGCACTAACCAACAAAGGATAGTTCAACTAAATTATGTAGATAAAAATGACGTGAAATTTATGTAACACGTTGACATATATAGTAAGACAAATTTACAGAGGGATATAGCTATAGATCGGGCTCTCATAGCAGTATATAGGGGATATATCGATTGGGTTACAAGAGAATGACTGTACAATATAGCTTCAAGTATGTATATTTAATTCTTTCTTTTTTTTTTTATTAGCCGGAAACTGCTTTACCGGCATGAAAACTGACGGAGCTGCCTATGTTCGCGAACATAATCCCTTCATCTCGATGAAGAACATAAGCAACAACAGCACACGCTGTGCAAACATCGTAAACGCCGATCAATTTGAAGTTGACCTCGCATCAAACGACCTTCCGCAATTCGTGTTCTATGTACCCGACAGGTTCAATGATGCTCACGAAACCAATCTTACGCATGCGACGAGTTGGTTCCAGCCGTGGTTTGACGACAAGCTTCAGAACGTAAATTTCACCGCCAACACATTGTCTCTTGTTGTTTTTGATGAGTCACATGGTTACGGCGTTAACCATATTTATGCTAGTCTCATTGGAAGTCCTGTGACATCAGGCGCTAATGAAGATACTACAAACTATACTCACTATTCGTTCACAAAGACGGTTGAAGAAAATTGGAGTTTGGGAAATTTGGGCAGAAACGATGTTAATGCAGAACCATTTAGTAAATTCCTTCGAGTAAATAACATCAATAACATTACATCAACGTCATCAGTTGAGAGTGTGCATTTTAATGTGACAAGCTTGAACGTTTTCATGGTTTTTTGGTTAGTTGTTTATACCCTTTCTGTTAATAGTTGATGGCAAAAATGTTAGATTACATGCGTTCGAATTTATACTTTAATCATGACATTGAGAAAACGGCTGTAATGGGAGTTATTGTATCTTTTACTTTGCACAGACAATAATAATCAAATATTAATAATTGTTGATAGTCAATATTCATTTATTATTCATATTACCTTTTTCCAATATATCATGTACCAGGTCGAGTGCCTATCATCTATTACATTGTCCGCTAGTGATATTCATGCATGTATATAAGTTGAACAAACAACTGGAAAAAAAAATCAAATCAATGTATAAATCAATGTATAGATCTGAAACAAATTATTCACAAAATGACACAAGTTTGTTTGAAAATTATATTCTTAAGAATAACGTTCAATGTTCATTCTCGGAAAATTAATAGTACAGTCTTTTGACTTTTAACCAGAACATCGACACAATATAAATAATCAATTGCTCATCTCTGCCCGTCTTTCCCATATCAATGCTTGTTCTTTTCAATCAATCTTTGTCATGGTTGATTGAAAACCAATGTGAAAACTGACCCTTTTCTCTTTCCCCCCTCCTCCCTCTCGAGTCTTATGCAGCACATGAAATGTTTTTATATATCGCGCGAGATGAGAGAAAGCATTCACCGTGTGTGAAACGTCTGTTCGAATTTGAAGAGTCTGCGCCAATCTACCGCTTTCGAGAAATCCCCGCGTTCTTCAAATTGAAAAGGCTGAACCACTCTATTTCGTATTTATTACTAATTGAGTTGTGTGTATGTTTCTATACAATAGTGATTGATTCTTCATGCGCCCCGCACCAAATGAGGCTGTTAATGTCCGTTGCTCTCTTTTCGCTCTTCCGTGGTAGATGAAGAAGATGTATATAAATCGGCATCGGCGGGGAACGTAGACTTCAGTCGATCGATCAGCAAATCTTTAAAGTTCTAAGGGCAAAGAAAGCAAACGCAG